CGACCTCCTTGCCTATTCTATATTCCTATCACTTTTGTAGCATTTGGAGCCAAATAATAGATGGCGCTGATCGAAACTGCCGAATGAAATACCACGTGACCCGTTCGGCGGGAGAAACAAAACAATAAAAGGACATAAATAAGTACAACACATTTTTCTTCCTTCTCTTTAATCTCTTAAAAGTCAGACGAACATGAAGTTACAGATGAAGATGTGTTGTTTTATTCTTGGTAAAAATAAAACGAAACTTCAATTGTTATATGCTTAGGTACTTTTTATTCACTTTGAAAGTTTTACATATACATGTTAATTGTTAACGACATAATAAACAATGACATATAGACATTAGAATCTGAATAGGTGTCCGTATCACGGACCGTTGCGAGAAAAAAATGTTTCGTAATACACATCACGTAATAATTATCATTACAATGACCATATATATATATATATACAATATTTATAAACATATGATAAATGATTCTATTCAAATGCATGATTTATCTTAATAATTCTTGATATCTCTTATCGTGCATCTCCTCAGCTTTCTCTTGTGCTAAACCTTATAAGGAGTTTTTTTATTCCTTATTCATTTTCCTTTATATCCTTATCATCTTCAACATCATCCATTTTATAATTTTGTAACTTTCTTCGGTTCCTTTTTTGTATCTGTCAATGTATTTTTTATCCTTTCCTTCATTGCTCTGAAAATATAAATATAAGAGACAGTCAATAAAAATTTCTACTTTCTATAACATAGTTATAATATAAACAATAAACTAACTCTTTCTCTTTCTTTACAACTTCTAATTCTTCTCGAGCTTTTACTTCGTCGTCGCTTTCTCAATAGCTACTGCGGCCGTCCTTCCTTTTTTTATTTTCAAGTCCAGGTGATTCAACAGCTGGTTGTGAGCTTAATTTTGGATCAGTTAAATGATCATGAGTTGATTTGCCCTTACCACTAAACTTTTTATTTAATATCACATATTCTTTTTCATCTTCCTCTGCTTCTTCACCAAATGATAAAAGATTCAAATCTCTGTAACAAAATCTTACATTGCAAAGAATAATACTGCTGCCGTTTTAGTTTTTAAACTGTCCTTTACTTCTTCACTTTCCTGTACCTATTATTCTTGGTATAATATCAAAAAATGGATTGTTCAATATTATAGGTTTTATCAATCTTGGAGGATAAAGTGGTTTATCATTCTACAAAACAGAGGAAATATTATATTTATATCAATGCTTGATATATATTCTTGCAAACATTAAATTTACCTCATCTACAAGTACTTCTTCGAGTTTAAGCATACTATATATAGATTCTCCAGTAACTTCGCCAAATATTGTATGTTTATTCTGCAATTCTGGTGTAAAACTAAGAGTAAGGAACAATTAGGAACCATTGTCATCTTTTCCAGCATTGGACATAGCAATTAAATCTCGTCAACAAAAACGTAATCTTGTATGAAATTCATCCTAAAACACATATATCCAATAACTATTTTTGAATAAGAAAGGAATTCATTTTATTTTTAAATATAGTCTCACTTTAAAGGGTTCTCCATATATTTTACCACCTTCTCCTGTACCTGTGGGATCACCATTTTGTGTTATGAATCCTTTGATAATTCTATGAAATATAGTGTCATCCCAATAACCATCCATACATAATTGTATGGAGTTTCTACATATCCTTTGAGTTTCTTTTGCCCATAATTCTGACTCAATATCACCAACAGTTGTTTTCATTACAACCTAGTTTGACAAATATATTAGTTTGATTAATGTAAAATACTTATAAAATCAAATTTATTAAAATTTATTATTTATTATTGTAATTCAAATTAGAAATTATTTAATACATTAATATAGAAATTTAGAGAGTAAATATTGTATATCGGTTAAATTTTTAAAAACAGATATACAATCCAATGAAATATTATAAAATGATACTTATTACTTTACCCTTAGTGGCTGGCTCTTGCATGTAAGTATTACTCATGTTTGTATGTCTCCTATGATAGAAAAAATCCTTCATCAATATTATTTCATATTAAATCTTTAGTTATTTATAAATCAGTCAACCAAATGGTTCTTTTCTCGAATAATCATAGCTTTTACCTCCTTTTGACATTGGCTTTATTGGCCAAATGAAGTCCATGATGTGCCACAGCACCATTATAATTGCCTTTTTTATAGTTTCCAATCCCTATAGATATTACTAGACATTTTTGCCTTAATGCAACATTTACATTCTATGTTCAATTTAACTTTACCTTTCATAACTATTATCAATTGTTCATTCTCCATCTGTTCAACGATCCCCATATTTGCAAGTCAATGCCACACATGTTTCTCTCTTGATACATATGCTGCCTCCTTTCTGTTTCTTGATTTGACATAATATACATTTCCTCTTCTCATTCCTTTTATTCAAACATAACACATTAGCGATGATCATTGACCTTGACCACTGATATTAATATTCATTTATATCAGGAACACAACATACCTTTCAATCTCATTGTATTTTCCATATCTTGTTGTTATAAGAGGCCATTACCTAAATTAATTGCATTCCTTTTTGTCTGCCTAAACCATCTCCATTTTCTGAATTTTTATTTGACCATCAAAGATTTCTATCTTGTATGTCATACGGTTAACCGACCTAGAATGCAATAGACATATACTTTACATATTTATATTGCTGCTTCAATTTTTTCTCGCTATAAAGTATAATTCTTGGCATCTACGCTGATGATATTCCATGAGTTCAATATTTTTCTATTGTTGCACGTGCCTGTTTATTTCAGCAGAATATTATCTTTTCTAACTTACACTATTTAATTATAACTAAAGGTTATGTTAATACAAATACTTACATTCTTTTCGTGATGCAGACACACCTGCATGGGCACAACAATGCTTCCGGCGTTTGTTTGTAATTTTTTTTCATTTCCTATGCCCTCTCCTGTTCACTTGGAGAAAAATTAATAAATCGCTCAATTTCTGTGTAATTTATAAAATTTTATAATTGCGTTGTAAAGGCGTACCTTTGCATATTTGTAGTCTGCCAGGTAAAGAAATGAATGCTGATTGTCTAATTAAAACCGCTGTAGTATTCTTATTATTTTGTAATAAATATATACTAACATAAGAAAGCGTAGAAAATACATTTTTTATTAAGAAATTTTATTTACATTTGTTTATTTACAATGTTTTTATTGGCGAAAAATGAATACAAAATAAAAAGTAGATTGAAAAAGAACCTGTACTATGAACGAGAATCAAACCCCAGTCCTGCAGTATAGGAAATTTCGACTGTCGCCGTCAAGCCACAACCCCGCCTGAGAAATGATGAAAATACATTTGTCATTACAGGAAAAATAAAACTTTAATCGTAAATATCTAAAAATCTATTGAATAGTTGAAGCTATAATGATATATATTCTTAAACTGCATTACGATATTTACAAACCTGCAAAGTTTTAACTAAATCGGTAACCCGAAGGATTTGCATTCTTCTTGTGATCTCTTTAAAAATTTAATCGATGTAGCATTGGTATCTTTTAGCAGTTAAATACAAATAACTGTAACATTCATAGTATTCAAGCAAAGAAAGAAAATTATGCGTATTCATTACGAACGTAATTTCTTTTCAAATAAAAAATTGATATACTTATTGAAGCAAAATATCAAATTATAAGACTATATCTTGAACAATGAAAAAACATTTTTCTATATAATAATATTTATTTAAAAAACAACATAATGATTAATTATTTAATATATTTGAAATGATCTCTTTAAACATAGAACTGCTTAGAATAGATGTATGTGTAAATCTCAAAAATTTAATTTAAATTTAGAAATTTATCTTGTATATTTGTACAATAGAATTATATAATTTTTACTGTAATTTTTAGATTGCAATATGATAGAAAAAGTAAAAAAAGGAACTTATGATACTAATTAGTCAAAATACAGGGAAAATATGTTAAAATATGTAGCTATATTCTCTTGAAATTTTAATTGCTAGTTTCAATTTTAATTTACATAGGATGTGAGGCATTTTCGTTTTGAATTTTTTTCAAAAGAATAAAGCTTTCAAGCATTTAAGATTGTTTATGAGATATAAAAATATTTAAAGTCTATAAGTATACATCAATCACATAGAAGTATATGATTACAAATAAAACTTATTTGAGGTCAATGAAAAGTACAGTCATTATAAATCGGAAATGGAAGCTTCTAAGATCGACTTCTCTTTATACTAACAATATACATAGATTTAAATCTAGATAGTTCCATATTGAAACAATTCTAAACATTTTGTCTTTTACAAGACAATTATTTTACACTGTTTATTCTTTATTTTTCGTATGAAGACGCATGTGTTTCTTCAAATTATCGAGTCTGTTACATCGACGATCACAGAAATCACACTGATAAGGCATTAAATTGCTATGTACTACTACATGACCATTTAAGTGACTAATTTGTTTAAATCGTTTTCCACAAATAGTACAAACATATGGTCTTTCATTCATATGAGCTGATGCAATATGTGTTTGTAAATTTGTCTTTCTAACAAATGTAGCTTTGCATACATCACATTCAAATGGTCTCACATTTGCATGTATAGCTAAGTGAGATTTAAGCACATTTTTATGCTTAAAATTCTTTTCGCATAAATGACACTGGAATGGTCGTTCGTCGTTATGTACTTTCTTGTGAACGGATAAATGGGCAAGCTGTTTGAACATTTTCGCACAAATCTCACATTGATATGTGCGTCCATCTTCGTGCGCAGCACTTACATGTCGACGCAAAGTATCCGCCAAAGTGTAGCGTTTTCCGCAAATCTTGCAGCGGAATGGACGCTCGTTTGTATGGGTCATTAAGTGTCCGTTTAAATTTCTTTTTTCAAGAAATCTTGCACCGCATACGTCACATTGATATGGCTTTTCTCCATTGTGCACGTACATGTGTTTCTTTAGAGAATTTGAAAGACTGAATCTTTTTTTGCAAACCGAACATTCAAATTTTCGTTCACCTGTATGCACTAGCATATGAGACTTTACGTGTCCTGCCTGTTTGAATCTTTTTCCACAAATTATACATGGGAATTGACGTTCATGAGAATGAGTGAGTATATGCCGTTCCAAAACGCTTTTAGTAGTAAACACTTTTTTACAATTATCACATTCAAATAAACGAAAAGCCTCTTTAGTTTTCGAAATATAATCCTCCTTATGTGACTGAGCATGAATTTTTAGCGAACCCAAAGATTCAAATTTCACACCACAAACTGCACAATGGAAAGAACGGTAATCCTTGTGTGTTAATGAATGTTGACTAAGATGACCTAATTGTTTAAAGCTCTTATTACAAATTTCACAAATATAGGGTCTTTCATTCGTATGAGATCGCATATGCCTTTTTAATACACTAGGAAAATTAAACTTTTGATTACAATATGAACATTCCAGAGTTGGATCTCCATTTATTTTCATTGAACGATTGTCTGCTATCTTTTTCTTTTCCTTAAGAAGATGTAAACTTTTTGTTGCCTTTTGACAGTCATTTGTTTCATTGGATTGCGTTTTATTGACATTTGAATCTGAGAAACTTCTTAAGTTAGATGATTTCACATCTGACATTGTATCATTTTGTGAATCTTTACTTCTCCTACTTCTGATGAAACTGGATAATTTATTTTGTCTATGAGATTGCCGCATATGTTTTTCATATAAGCTCAAAACGTGAAACATTTTGTTACATAATTTACATTCAAATTTTTTCCCTTTTATATGCGTTCTCATATGATTTTTTAAATGTCCTGGTTTCATGTATTGTTTCTGACAGATTTTACATTTTAAATTAATTTGATTTTCCAAGTTTGATATTTTATCATCTATACCTGATTCATCCTCAAATACTGAATCTTCCATATGCATATTTAAAGGTTCACTTTTAACATTTACAAAATTAAAGCCAGGAGTATCCCTACGAAGATCGTCTCTAGTCTCAGTGCAAGAGTCTTCACTTTCACAATCTTTTGACTAATAAATTAGATTAATGATTAATAACGTGTATATAAATAATTATATCATTAATAGTATACTTACACAATCTACATCTCTAATGCTTGCAAAAGTTGGGACTTCTATAAGCTGTTGTCTACCTTCTTTTTTAACACTATCTTGTTTGTCAGATAAGAGATCAATCCATTCTTCTTCAGTCCATATATTATTTTTTAAATTTATTCTATTAGTTTGTTTCTGAAACTCTTCATGTACATTTTTCCCAAATAATATGTCATAAGGAATTTTTCCATTTTCACAACGAAATGTAGAATTTTGAAATATCTGTATATGTTTCAAAGCTTCATACCATGTTTTTGTTGGGTTTTCCGCTATCCAACATTCAAGTAAGTTTTTGAAATCTCTATTTTGTTTATTAATTTCAGTAATTTCTCCATGAAGTATTATGAAATCTTTCCATAAAAGACGTAACTCTTGCACAACTTCTTCTGCAAATTTGCGCCCATTACTGCTTTGTAAAACCTGTGGTGCTCCAATAATAGTCAATATGTCTAACAGTTTTACAGCTACCTCATTTGCTGTGTTTTCATGTAAACCTTTCAACACAACAAACCTGGATATTTGATCTTCATAAACAAAAAAATACTTGTAATTACAATTTAACTGTACTGGCATATCTATTACATCAATTTGTCCTCTATGATATAATTTTTTGTCTGTGGTATTACAAAGTGAATTCATGTTTTCAATTTTTAAATAATTTATAATTCTTTTAGAGTAATTTAAAAACTATAAAATTTTGTACAATTATTTAATAAAAACAAATGACTTATTATGAATAATATATTTAAACAATTTATCACAATTTATAAATATATGTTATCTTCAGAGGTATAGAATGAAATACCTCTTGGTAAACATTTATTTCATGTTTTAAAGATCTAATACTGATTGTTTCCAACAAATTAAATGTTTCCTTTAACACCTTTTTTGTTTTCTGTGTGTCCATTGTTCACTTTCTTAATTCACTGATATCTGTCAAAAGAAATAAAAAATTACACTTTTAAAAAACAATAAAACGTGTAAAATTACGAATATATACTATATTAGAAAGAAATTAAAGGTAAAACATACCATATAATAATTCATTGTGGTTTTAATAGCCTTTAACAAACTTTTGTTTGTATGTACAAATAAAGTATTGTATATACAAATAGTATTTAAACAAAATTTACATTCTTTTTTAGTATGAGGCAATATACAGTTGTAACCTATACTATTCGTTATGAGATTCAGTTTACTTGAAAATCAAACCTCTATATTCATTTTTTAAATTATACTGAAAGGTCTTAAAATTATTTCATTTTATAAGTGACAATTAAATACACATTTCTTCACTTCTTAATTCAATAATTAATGTTCACTACACAATTGAAAACTCTTGTTTGTCATTTTCATTGCGAGTTTTCATTACCTTGTTAAAACTTGACATACAACTAAGAACTTGACAGTCTAGTGGAAATAATAATGTTTATTTGTACACGTGTCGAGAGAGGTAAAGGTAGATTTTTAATACCATGTTCTCTCGTATATAGAATAAACTAAGAAATAAAAATATTTACATTATTAATCATTTGGATATTTACACTACTTCGTGTTCATATCAATACATCAGAACTACTATGAAAAAAATTTGTAATCAAATAATAATTATATGAACATAGTCCATCAAATAAAAAATAAGAAAAATATTCAGTTATATCGTTATTGATAAATAAATTGGTTGACAATACAAATGTTTAATTGTATAAAGCAATTTTTAATTGTACTTGGATCTTATTTGTAAATATTTAGTAGCTTAAAAATAATAATGTATAACGTGATATAACATACGTTTATCCATCTTTAAATTAGTTTTTCGAAGATTTCTTTTTGAACTCGTGTCACTTGTGCAACTACACACAGTTCAATTAGTAAGTCCAAGATGGCAGTTGTAGTAAACGAAAGTCTTGTTCAAGTAAATGAAAATATAACGGAAAATAATAACTCTATTACCGCAAGAATGCCTTCGACATTTGAGGGAATAGTCCTTGCTTACGGAAGCCTATTAATTATGGCTATTTTACCTATTTTCTTTGGTAGTTATCGTGCTGTTAAACATCATAAGGAACAGCAGGTCAGCCACGCGTTTGACATATGTTTTACATGCGTATATCGAAAAAATTTTTTTAACTATGTGACAGTTAATACCTTAATTTTCAATTGAGTTATAATGTCCGAATGATAATTTGTATTACATGCAATATTTCTAATTAATTGAATGTCATTTAACAAGTTCGTAGATTGTTGATGTTAACTTTGTATAAATATCTTATATTTTATTAACAGAATGTTATATTGCATGTAGTAATTTTATGTTTTACAGCAACAATATAAGAAAAGTGGAGAACAGCCAGAAATAATGTCTCGTAAGGATGCAGCAATATTTCCTTTCATTTCCAGTGTTACATTATTTGGACTATATGTAATATATAAAGTAAGAAGGATTAGATATATGATATTTACATAAGAAATTTATTAGATTCTATTTAGAATTGTGTCAATATTTTTCAGATATTTGACAAGGAATTTGTGACTCAAATTTTAGCAACATATTTCTTTTTCTTAGGAATCTTAGCTTTGTGTCACCTTACTAGGTATGAACAGTTTAATGTTTATTGGTAATATGTGCTTTTTAAGTATTTGATAGGTAATATAACTATTATTACAGCCCAATAATTTCATCACTAGTACCTGCAGCAATTCCAAAAACTCAGTACAATCTATTATTTACTAAGGGTGAAGTAGATGAGGCAGAATTTATTATCAATTACAAATTTAATCTTCATGATATCGTTTGTCTGATATGTTGTTCACTTGTTGGAACTTGGTATATTTTAAAAAAGGTAGTAATATTATACAAAATTTTATTGAATAAGTATAACTTCAGATGAAATAACTTTTTTACTATTTTAATTTTGCAGCATTGGATAGCTAATAATTTATTTGGTATTGCATTTGCGATTAATGGAGTTGAGTTGTTACATGTGAACAATGTTGTAACAGGATGTATTTTGCTTTGTGGGCTCTTATTCTATGATGCATTTTGGGTATTTGGTACAGATGTAATGATAACAGTTGCGAAATCATTCGAAGTTCCAATTAAATTAGTGTTTCCTCAAGATATATTGGAAAAAGGATTTACAGCCAACAATTTTGCTATGTTGGGTCTAGGTGACATTGTTTTGCCAGGAATTTTCATTGCTCTTTTATTACGGTTCGACAATAGCTTGAGTAGAAAAACAAATGTCTATTTTTACTCAACATTTTTTGCATATTTCATGGCATTGTTAGCGACAATGTTCATTATGCGTTTTTTCAATCACGCACAACCGGCACTGTTATATTTAGTACCAGCTTGCCTAGGTACCCCTCTACTTTTGGCATTAGCCAAAGGAGATTTAAAAGCACTATTTTCGTATGTATCAATAAGTATTTCATTTATACTGTTTTATTTGAAATAATTTCCGAATAATATATTGTAAATTATTGATCTTATTTCAGTTACGAAGATCATCCACTTAATATAAAACAAATGGAACAATCAGTACAAACACAAGTAGAAACAAAAAAGGATACGTGATATTCGTATTTAAGGTGATGAATGTAATAAAAGTTTCAGCTGCATTATTATGCTGTTACCATTTTAAATTTATAGTATGTAGGGAGAAAATGATAGTTTGTCTTATGCGCAAGCTGTACAATCATGAAATTTAAAAGTGTTATAAGTACAATACATGTAGTTATATTCTACATGCATACTGTGAGATTTAAACTTACATTTGGTTCATATTCATACATTTAAAGTCAATTGAGTCAGTAATTTATAATTTATTGTATATTTGTATCAGTTTTTATAAAGATGCACACACACACATACACACACGCGCGCGCGCGCACACACATACACATTGCGTGCGTGCGTGAGTGTGTGTTTAGATAAATATTAGTTAATTTATGAAGAAATTATTCAAGAATAATAGTAAGTAATATGGTTTTTTTTTTTCAGATGAATTGTTTTCTATAAATAAAATAAAATAAGTAAATGAGGATTTACATTAATACTAGGGTTCTTACTTATAACATACCCGGTTTACTCGTGCAATACCCAGGTAGATAAAAATTACTCAAAAACTGGGGTACCTCATAAAATACACGAGATAGTTGAAACCATCGATATGAGAGGTCGAAACAAAAGAATGCATAGTTTTAAGTTTAAAGATACGAAAAAAACCATATCACAGCCGGAAAACAAAAATTTAATTACAACTTATTTAAATATTTATGTTACGCTATTCGTATTTAATTATGAATAATTATTAGTATTTTTAATGTCCGGGGAAACGTGATGTAAACTGACTAAAATTCTTATCTAAGGATCTCAAATTTGAATGTTAGAAATAATATGATAAAATAGTATGAAAAAAGGAAAAATATTTTAATATACAATATATTTACTTATCCTACATATAATTGTACTTACATAAATATTTCTGTAATTCTAGTTTTATGTTTTATATATCTCGGTTTTCATATGAATATATAATACTAATAAATCTATGGTCTCTGAAAGTAAATTATTGCATTTTTCTGTTTAAAATTGAAAAAAATTGTGCCACAATTATGTATAAGAAGAATACATATGATACATTAAGTTCCATTGGATAAGATTGAATTAATTTTTGTTGTAGTAAATTTAATTGTAACGCTAAAATTGTTATACTAGAATGATTGACGAATATTTTCAAAATAATATCGCCACATCAACAAAAAATTCGGCTTCGGTGTTAGATAAATAATAGTTATTCGATGAAGAGATCGATATTATCGCTAGTTGATCGTCAGTGATTACACAACGTCGCCGTTATGTTTAGACAATGCACTGCTTTGAGTCTACTGAGAGAATTATCTTATATAATAGAGTAATCCCGGAGAATATAGAAAGTTTCGAGTATCTCATGTATTGCGTCTCATGAAATACCTGGGTAGATAGGTAATTTTTATATACTTGGGTATCTCAGATGTTTAGAAGAAGTTCAGTTGAAATCATAAGCCCTGATTAATATGTATATCACAAGTGTAGAATAGTTTTCATTAGAATATGAATAATATAAATATCATTTGTTTTTCAAATCAAAGCAAAATACAATAAGAATGAAAATTGAGTTAAAATTTCTCATTTTTGTATGAAATATAAACTTTTTAAAACTATTATTGTGAATAACTGGATTGAACATATATTTGATTAAATTTATCATCTCTAATAGGAAATTGTATATATTGTTTTATTAGAGCTATAAAATACGCAAAATTCTTCGATTTTATTTATAAAATTATAAATTCATTTAATTTTTTATAATTACAGTTCAGGAAAGTAATTATGAAAGTTGAATTTATTTTTTAATTTAAAGGAATCATATTTCAATTCATGAAATTGATATTTGGTAAAACGAATTCCATCAAATATGTATTTGGTTAAAAAAATTTGTAAGCATTTTTCAAAAATATAATAAAACTACATTTTTCCATTTATTTGTAAATAACTGTTTATAAGTTTCCTGTGCAAAAAATGATGCTTATTAAGGCTACTTTATTTTAATATTTTTATTTTTTTCAATTATAAATGATATTACAAATAAAATGAATAAAAATAGAGTAAAACTACTTTATACTTTAGCCGCATCTTCTATTGCCAAATTCTTTGCTGTAATAGGTTCCAATTCTCCTATACCTTCTTTAGATATCTTTTGTACTTTGAAGTTTGGAAGATTAATTATCAATCTCTTTTGCAATTCTCTAACACATTGTTTCATTAATACATATGCTTCTTCTTCTGTTGAATCTGTAATATACAACAGTATATGTGGTATTTCATTACTATTTATTAATTAATCATACTATGTATAAACAAATGTTATTGTAATTTTGATTTCCATCAATTTTACTACCGTATTTGTGGTATCTATCCAAAATGGAAAGAGAGAAAAAGCCACCGTAACCATGTGCTGCATAAGATACTTTAACACATGATGCTAAATAATCAATGAAATATAACTCTGGTCCAGTATTATCATCATAACCAGCCATTAACAGATTGACAAAATATGGTGTTTTACTTCTAAGATAATCTGCCAACTCTCTCCTGGTGAAAGAGGCAGCTGCCTTTGGAGATAGTTCATACCCATTTCTCATTTTGTAAAGTTGAATATTTTTTCCTATATATTCTGAGAATTGTATAGTATCTCCAGATTCTCCAGAGACTGCCATGATAAGTTTATCAGACATTTTGTGAATTTTTTCTTCATCTAAAATAAAATTATATGAATAGTATAAAATGACTTGCATTTTTTATGCAAATATTTTATGATTTGTATATACATATAATGTTTTGAATTATATAGAAAATTTGATACTCAAATATTGCTTATAGAACAAATGTAACAACAAACAAAATTATTTATTTGAAACTGTATTATCAGGTTGTAACCAAACGTATTTCTTACCACTTTTCATAACCATGATAGATTGAGCTGTTGTCATGTCAGCCGCAACTAACACAAAGTCCTTAAATTGTATGCCGATTAAACATTCCATTTTAACGAATACTCCACTATTTTAACTGGAATTGTAACACGATCAAACAGCACTGAAAACTGCACGTCATGAACTGCAAGGTTAGAATTTTGATGGCTACAGTAATATCGACTATCAATGTGTTGTGTATTTAATGGCGTAAGTGGTCCAATTTGTATACAACTTTTTTAAAATGTAATTGGTTAATAAATATAACGAAATATTTTTTTATCAAAAACTAAATATTTTTTATTTTAATTACGATGTTATTAAATTCTTTCTCATTCAGATTAATTGTATATCAATAATTACATAAAAAAAAGGCAGTATACAAATCATCGAATATATTCAACAATTCTTAGTATTCCTATACGCTGTATGTCATGTAGTAAAAAAAAGAATATTAATTGATGAATATTTTCTTTTGCCTTAATTTTTTGTATTCAAGTTGGACAGATTGTATGAGGTGAAAGTTAATTTTCAAATAAAACAGATAATAAATAAATATAAAATTTTCTATAGAAATTAAATCACAAATATAATGAATATTTGATCATTGAATTCACTATAGTATAACTAAAATTATGACGATGTAAATCGTTATGAAGGAAACAGGTTGAAAGAGAGACGAACAGAAATGACTGGTTCACGCTCACTGGTATACCATTACATTTCTGTGTCAGTGGTAAAGCTCTAATAGCAGACTGGATTTCCTATTCTTTTCAATTTTATTATAGATACCGGAACACTGATAATTCCTTAAGGTTCTTTCAAGAAGAACGAACGTAACATCATTGGAACACAGGACGCCATTGAGATTTCAGAGAGAGGCAAAGTTTAGCCTAAAAATTTGTTAAGTGAAAAAAATTTCTGTATTGAAGTAAGGCATGTGTAGTAGAATAGAAACGATTATAGTGTGTTTGGAAATTATTGTATCAAACGAGAGCTTCAATTAATTTCGGAATAACATAGTTGAAGTTGCCGATACTCAGACTATGTGCAGTTTCTAACTGTAGGTTGTAGGTATTTAGTATTAAACAGTAAAACGAAGAAAAATTCTCGATTAGTTTTGAATTTCAATTTAGTTTATTAATTACCATCCACTATTAATTTATTACTATTAAATTTTGTTTATTAATTCAAAAAAAAACTTGGATTATATATGAATTTTTGTCCAATACTTGACAATGAAAAACTCATTCCACGTTAAAATCGTACAACAATGATTCCTTTTCGAGTGCTTCATCTCTTTTTAAATGTCTCATATTACTCTTTCAGAAGTTCAAACACTTGTACTGTTCCTTTGAACTTCAATCTTACTAACGAATTTTCACAGAATTCCTGTTACTAAAAACATTAAATTCTTCGGAGAGATCTTAACTTATAAAAAGAGGTGTACATTATATAGACTTTTTCTTCATCGATGGAATCTACTTTATCGACGAATAAAAATTCTGTGATGAACAGAAAAAAGAAAGATATTTAAAAAATATATGAAGTAAAAATAATACAAGAAATAATAAGAAAATTTAATCATTTGTGGTTTTAGTACGGAATTGTGTACAAAATTAGTGTGATTATATGCTTATGGTGTTAAACTGCTGCGTTAGTGGTTAATTAGAAGAATTTGAATACTAATATTACATTTCAGTCAAATATTCAATGGAATTAGTGTAAAAAGCAAGGAGAAAAGAAGAAAGACTACTAATTGTGATAAATTAACGGCAAAATTGGTTCACCTCGTCCCGTTGAAGGTCGTTTGTCGATCCCGTTACATTAGTATTTATGACGCCTAATGTGATTAACGATCGTTTTACATCATAACTTTGAAAATCTAATTATATCATGTTGTTAAAATGAATTAATAATTTCTATTTTATATCTAAAGCAGATATTGGTGATATTATTATGTTAATTAAAAAGGTAGAATAAAAGATTCTTTACGCTAAATCGAAAACATGCCGATCTGTACGTTCACCGAAGGTTCGATTTATGTTTCTTGCGAAGTGCAGGTTGTTCTCTACACCTCTACATGGTGATTAGCGAGATGCTCCTAATAAGAAAACATGACTCCAGCATCCCGCTACTGAAACAGTTATGATGAATCGCGACCGCCTAGTCCAGGGTGCACGCAACGTGAAATGGGCCTTCAAGAAGAAAAGGAAAGCCTCCGGCCGTGGACGAGTGAATGGATCAGTCAAATGATCGATCGATGCATTATTGTTTTGGTACAATACGTTTGCTGCATATTGATCGAGTAAACGGCATATTTACAAATTCTGCAATACTTTTTACTAGATTGATGTCTTTTATATAAAAAATGGTATTTTTAATATCTGTATGAACCATTTTGTTTTTTTTTTAATGTTTAGTATTCCATTTGTAATTATAAATGATGTCCCTTTTTTATTTCAAGTGGTCTGTAACTGGTTTGTCCTGGTATGGTTGAAGAAATCTAAAAAATGAAAGGAATCTTGACAAGAACGTTTTTGCAAGTGGATGAAAGAATTACTCTCAACTGTTATTATTGATGATAATTTTTAATAATATTGTGGAACTTGTCCAATTTCGAAGAGTAAGTTTTTCAAGTATATAATCACGACAAAGTTACGTTGTGAAATGATTTAATATGTTTTTAAACAGTTATAAACAATTTTAAACAATTACAAGTTTAAATAAAAATAATTACAGGAACTTTGATTTCAACGTGCTGACTTTAGATTTATGTTACAATATTACTTTTCCAAGTTTTCTAAAAAATAATTATATTCTTAACAAAGTAAGAAAAGAAAAAAGGAAAATCTTAGTAGCTATTCGTTCGTTTAGTGGACTATTTTATGCGAGAGAATTCGATGGGAATAAAAGGCACATAGAACGTTGAAACCGTAAAATCTTAACGAAAAGTATTCGAAAAGTAGACCTTCAGGATTGACGATGAAGAGTGGCAGAGGATTGGTCAGTTCCATTGAAAATAGTGCCAAAGATGTGTGGTCATTGGCCGTTGAGCCTACCCCCACGTGAGTGCACAAGCTATATAGAACACCTCACGTGGAATTTCATCTTCAGAACTGAGAGTCAGTGTCAAGGAAGCCCACCTGAAAGTAACAAAGTGAGTACAGTAGAGTTCGTCTAAATTTATCGATATTTACATATTTTCAATCGTTTTACATTTAACGTTTAAATTTTCGAAGCTTTTTCTTAGTTATGATCATCTCCAACTATGTAAAAAAATATTCAATACTTTATTCTATCTTTTCCGGTTCCAACTTTGATAGCTTATTTTACTTTCGAAGTTTTACTATTTAGAACTAAGGGAATATATTTCCAAAGGCAAAGTTCAAACGATCGTTGAGTTAAATAAATTTTAAGCTCGATTTATAATATGACTTTTTCCTAGTTAAGACTTTAAATATTTCATATAAGAAGAACGAGCGTGGAATTCTTTGTATTGAATAATATCGTTAAAACTTGAGTGAAGGAATAGCCCCGGAACAGGTAGAAAATATCTTTTAGAAGTGTTGGCTACAGTTAGAAATCGTTTGCGATTTTTCCAGCGCAACAAGTACCGTTTTCGAGAGGCGTGGCGTGCCTCATATATCTTCTCCATTTGCTTTCAAATTGTTCTATAGAATTCTTCTATTCTATTTATTCACAATTTCACGATTTCTTTCTTAAATTAATAAATTTAATAAATAAACAGTTTGTTAAAATTCTCGTTATAAATTATTTAAACTTTTCCATACATTTTAATCACACGTATAATTGAATCTTATTATTGAATCTTATAACTATTTATTACAAATTTATTTATTTTTTTGCAAAGTTCACTTATTCTCTTTGCCAACTTCTTCGAATTTCTGCGATTTTTTTTTGCTGGGAGCTTTCTTTCTATTTTCTTTTTATTTTTTCCATTTGTTTTTTCTTTACTTACTTGGTCGGTGCAGTGCAGGACGATAAAGACGACAGTAGGTCGCGACCGCGTTTTCAGGTAACGGTACCTGTTGAGTTCAACAAACCGGTAGCTTCGATCGAGAAGTGGGCTACCTGGTGCTGCCAGGGTGACCTTAACCGCTCTGACACACTTTCCTGCCACTCGACGTCGTTCTTTCGCTTTGCACGCATACCATTCCGCTTTATTCGTTTCGTGTATGCGTGATCGCTTGCTTTTTCTTGAACACCGTTTCTCGATTCAAGATCAAGGTTACCGATACCAGACGACCTAGGTAAACGTGGCCTCAGATTAAGATTATAGAATCGTCTCTCCCCTTACACTTGTTCAACAATGTACAGAATTTCTCTGAATTTTATCGTTTTATACACGGCAATTACCTTTTACTAATTTACCAGGCGGTTCTTCTTATTATTTTTTTCTCCTTGCACGCGGTTGGATATTGGCAGAGCTTAGTTTTAATAAGAATTCAGAAGAAATAGTGGAATCACGTTGGGAAACACGAAGGTCCGGAACGGAAGCTATAGCATATTTGGAGCATGACTCGATCTTTCCGGATTTTCTCCCGGAATGAACTGTGCATTCGAATTCTTCATCGAATTCGATCCCTTCCATACTAGAGATAGAGTTGCGCCGGTCTCTTCACGTATACTCATCACTATAGACACCTCTCCAAAAATTGAATTGATGGCTTCTTTTGTGTCGAATTTTGATAATGCAGAATGTATCATTTTCTTTTCAGAATGCAGTACAATCAATATCTGTCGCTATGCTTGGTGGCGCTTGTTCTCGGACAAGTAGCAACATTGCCACAGCATTCTCAGTATCCGCAACAATTCCAACAACAAGTCAGGGATGAAAGGAAATTTGCAGAGAAGCCAAATGCCATGAAGAAGGTTGCTCTCGATGACCTGGACGACATCAGTACCAATCAGATTCAAGTAAATTACCACTAAATTCAACTTCTTTTAGCTACCTATATAGCAAATGAAAATGACAAAGTTATTTTGATTAATTTTAAATTTTGGTTCCTTATTTCTATATATATTAACATTAAATTAATCGTTGCTTCATCTTATTTCATCAGGAAGGTGGTAATACCGGGTTCTCGTGGTCGAACATGCTGAGTATGTTGATGCAGATGCTCCTAGGCCAAACGGGTGGTGTAGCAGGCCCAAGCAAGAACGAAATCGATGATGGAGCACCGACTAGTCCTTGGGCGAATTTATTGTCAGTCGGGCTCAGGGTACTCACCGCCCTTCTGGGAGGTCCTCAACAATCTGTTGATGGCATCGACAAAGTTGACAACCAAAGCAGCCCTATGCAGGTACGCTCGTGATCACACAAATGCACCTTACTCCTTCGATCTCAGTCATTTCCGCTTCGGCATCGATCCATGGAGATCTTTGGTTGATCTACGATTACCTATGAATGAAATGTATCAGTGTTAGGTACTATCGAAGTAGATGCTGCGATAATTGTCTTGACAATTTCGACATCAGACGCGAATATTTGCGATTAAGAAACGAAATTAGAAAGCAATCGATAATTACTCGAAACGGTCTCGCGCAACAGGAACGTTGAGTTTCCGAGGCTTTCATCTTGATCCGGGTCGCGTGACGAAAGCAAGCATAAGCCGAATTGATTGTACTTTTGAATCGATCTGGGTCAAACGCATCGTAGACTCAACTGAATATCGTTTGCCTGCGATTCGGATATTTACCAAGGAATTGTTCGATCGATTTTCTCCTCTCCTTCCCATCTTCCTTCGTAGCATTTTGTTTAGATTCCGCACACGACTCGCTGTACATTTGAATAGCTAATTAGAATTAATAGCACACTTATGCTGTAGATTGTACATCGCTGAGCATGAAACAGATCACAGAGATTCGTTCTTCTTTCCCTTAAGACACTCGTTTAGAATTCGGGAAGAAGAGACTGTTGCTTTTCTTCTATGAAACGAATTGTTCGTGCATGCATTGTAAAATAGTCATGCTTATATGTGTTTACTCTAGTACAGAATTTGTTCAAAAGAGAAATCACAACGGTGAATGAATCGTTTCTCGACACGAGCTGTTACTTCCGTTAACAAGCTCCACTGTCTCCTAAACAATTAAGGGGACTCTGGCCACGTTAACGATCTTCACGTTTTCTAAACGATTTAATTTCCTTTCGATTTATGTCTGATCCTCCTTTGGCTGAAATATTTTCGAAATTGTCAGTGGAAGCAAACCGTACACGTTGCTGTGATTTCGTGCGATTGCGAAACGACCGACATACTCCTCAACAAGATCCGATATTCCTTTGTTGCTTGGGGCAACGTTACAGACTCGACCTCTTTGTAAATAATATGCTGTGATTTCGTGCGATTGCGAAACGACCGACATACTCCTCGACAAGATCCGATATTCCTTTGTTGCTTGGGGCAACGTTACAGACTCGACCTCTTTGTAAATAATCATCAGAGAATGTCAACTTAGAGCACATGGCTGGTGTCGGTTGTTTAGGGCATTTTGACTGCGGTGCTGGGCGCGTTTCTAGGACAGGGCAGAGACCCCGATCAGGTTGCTGTCATGGCTAAAAACGCTTCCGAGGTTAGTACGTAATCAAACACTTTGTACATGAAATGATATCGTTATCTCACACTCTTACTCTTCCTCTTTACGTTTTTCTCTGAGATTTCACTAAATAAATTATTTTACTTTAATGATACGATATCGTGTTGGTAATTTTATTGCAATTAAAGATTTCAAAGTTGACGAGATGCCAATAGGCTAGAATAAAATAGAAATATGCACGCTTTCCACGTGTAAAATGCTTTTACTCTGTTGATCTACTCTTTAACAACTTACATGCGGTTAATAATCTAATTTTTTCTAAAACAGTTCATAAGTATCGTGATCAATCTTCTGGACGCCTTGAAGACGTCGTTCTCTCATCGTTCTTTGGCGGCTAGGTCCATGGGAAGACGGGACACTGTTTCTGAGGCTGCTGTTGCTTCCATCTCTATGCTTAAAGTATGCAAATCTTAAAAATTTATAGTATGTAAATTTATTCTTTTTTATTTACCCCTAAACGTATATTATGTTTAATTTAGGGCTACATGAGATCAGTGAAATCATTTAATAATGTTGGTCGCGCTGAGGATGAAGGGCAACGGGGTTGTGCCGAGAGAGCCCTCTGCGAAGCTAGTGCAGAGTGTGTTGCAGATGCTCAGGGTACATCTTCTATTTTCTGCCAACTTGGATCGTAAGTGTCTATCTTCTCATCAGTGATACTTCCTATCATTTTAACTTTCATAAATACAATTTGTTACTTTTTAAGGTATGCGACAAGTTATCTGCTTCAAAGGCAGAGTGGAGTAGGTTTCGAGGCGCTGTATGAAGCAGGTCGACGCGGTCGCACCGGTGAGGACTGCAGAACTCTGTTCATGGATTGTAACGCTGTATGAAAACCCGTTTTGACCCGTTCAAGTGCGATTTAGAGGCTCTAGGACTCGATTAACGCCAGACTTAATTGTTTGAAACTTCTTTAAATCGAATTTGATATGGAATGCCAGTTCAAATTATATTTCTTCAAAAAAATGTTGGAATTTCATAGGTCTGTGAATCGGATTTATCCCGTCCTGAGGTTTAGATCGCACACGGAACCGACGGAAGAGTAGCTTTATGCGCGAGAACCGTGTCGAGACCAAATCAGAATGGTGATCCTCTTCTCCAAGTTCTCGATCGACGAACTTGCCTCATCGATCAAACCACTAAATCGGTCATCTTATAGAATTAGAAAAAAATTCGGAACTACATCATAATTACATAGAAACAAAATCGAAATGAAATCGAGAGTCAAATTCATGAAACTATAGAATAATTTATTGATCAATTAATATTCGCGATGTCTCTAAACTATTAATTGATTGATAATCACGCGCTGTTAAAAAGTAGCAAGTCTCAGTGTCCTTTGTGACCTTGTGAATACTGGGAATTTATTTATGTAAAAAGAGTTTGCGACAATCATCAGAGAATGTCAACTTAGAGCACATGGCTGGTGTCGGTTGTTTAGGGCATTTTGACTGCGGTGCTGGGCGCGTTTCTAGGACAGGGCAGAGACCCCGATCAGGTTGCTGTCATGGCTAAAAACGCTTCCGAGGTTAGTACGTAATCAAACACTTTGTACATGAAATGATATCGTTATCTCACACTCTTACTCTTCCTCTTTACGTTTTTCTCTGAGATTTCACTAAATAAATTATTTTACTTTAATGATACGATATCGTGTTGGTAATTTTATTGCAATTAAAGATTTCAAAGTTGACGAGATGCCAATAGGCTAGAATAAAATAGAAATATGCACGCTTTCCACGTGTAAAATGCTTTTACTCTGTTGATCTACTCTTTAACAACTTACATGCGGTTAATAATCTAATTTTTTCTAAAACAGTTCATAAGTATCGTGATCAATCTTCTGGACGCCTTGAAGACGTCGTTCTCTCATCGTTCTTTGGCGGCTAGGTCCATGGGAAGACGGGACACTGTTTCTGAGGCTGCTGTTGCTTCCATCTCTATGCTTAAAGTATGCAAATCTTAAAAATTTATAGTATGTAAATTTATTCTTTTTTATTTACCCCTAAACGTATATTATGTTTAATTTAGGGCTACATGAGATCAGTGAAATCATTTAATAATGTTGGTCGCGCTGAGGATGAAGGGCAACGGGGTTGTGCCGAGAGAGCCCTCTGCGAAGCTAGTGCAGAGTGTGTTGCAGATGCTCAGGGTACATCTTCTATTTTCTGCCAACTTGGATCGTAAGTGTCTATCTTCTCATCAGTGATACTTCCTATCATTTTAACTTTCATAAATACAATTTGTTACTTTTTAAGGTATGCGACAAGTTATCTGCTTCAAAGGCAGAGTGGAGTAGGTTTCGAGGCGCTGTATGAAGCAGGTCGACGCGGTCGCACCGGTGAGGACTGCAGAACTCTGTTCATGGATTGTAACGCTGTATGAAAACCCGTTTTGACCCGTTCAAGTGCGATTTAGAGGCTCTAGGACTCGATTAACGCCAGACTTAATTGTTTGAAACTTCTTTAAATCGAATTTGATATGGAATGCCAGTTCAAATTATATTTCTTCAAAAAAATGTTGGAATTTCATAGGTCTGTGAATCGGATTTATCCCGTCCTGAGGTTTAGATCGCACACGGAACCGACGGAAGAGTAGCTTTATGCGCGAGAACCGTGTCGAGACCAAATCAGAATGGTGATCCTCTTCTCCAAGTTCTCGATCGACGAACTTGCCTCATCGATCAAACCACTAAATCGGTCATCTTATAGAATTAGAAAAAAATTCGGAACTACATCATAATTACATAGAAACAAAATCGAAATGAAATCGAGAGTCAAATTCATGAAACTATAGAATAATTTATTGATCAATTAATATTCGCGATGTCTCTAAACTATTAATTGATTGATAATCACGCGCTGTTAAAAAGTAGCAAGTCTCAGTGTCCTTTGTGACCTTGTGAATACTGGGAATTTATTTATGTAAAAAGAGTTTGCGACAGAGAAGAACAGGCGAGAGAAGAGGTCGTATACGTAAGTGAAAGACGTATATAACTTAATGTAGAAGTAGACTGAATGACATTTCAGGCCTAAACGAACTGTATACCGTTCGGATGGGTCTTCACGACAATCACGATATTTATTTCTATTTATTGAATTTAGTGGACGTAGAGTTAGTGCGTAGTTAAGACTCGATAAGCTACCACACAATGGGAGGATTAATTTTTCCATTTCAAAGCATTAACGACGTATCGCAATTTAAATAATTTCGATAATTAATCTCTTTGAATTTCTCAACTTATGTTTTGTTTTTGTCATCAACGACAAGCTCAACTCGATTTTTTATATTTAATTATGAGTTTTTCCACATTAACGAGACAGTTTCTTCGTTTCGGAGAGGAAGATGAGTTTAAAATGGTTGGAAGTTTAAAATCTGGTATATTACATATGCTTAACGTCTTTCTTTAAATCCTTTTTGAGGTTTTTGAATAGGGTTCAAAGAAATTCGTCCTGGAATGTTTCTCTCTATTCGTACGAATTAACGTCTCAGGATGTTATGTTTGTTTTGTCACCCGCTCAAAATTATCTATTGTATATAGACATTATATATGTATACATATAAATACATACACACATACACACGGGTGGAGTTTTTTCGCAATAGCCACGTTCTATTTAGCTCAGTAGCGTATCACTTAGATGTAAGTTGTATGTATGACGTGCGATACGATGATATTTAAATTGAAATTAATAAACGATATTACTGATAATCATGTCTTCTTTTCCTTTAACTTTCTCAAATTCAAAATTTCAAACTCTGTTTCTTGCAGTATAGTATTTATACAGAATATTTCACAGATAATGCAGACCTAAATTCAACGTTTAAAGATAGATATTAACAATATTTTATTTTACCACGTGTATTTTATACAAAACTGTGTCAAATTCTTTACTATATGTCAGGACGGTTAAGCATTTATCAAAAATCTTACCTACTTTTTGAGATTAATGATGTCAGTTGTCCCATGCAACTACACAGACTAAAAGTTTCTAGGTCTTTGGAAACAGAATAATAATCATCTTAACACCTTTTTCATCGCAAAAATTGCTTTCTTCTCTGAGACGACAAAGACTCCGTGTATTTAACGGGTGCAAACACCGGATAGACACAGCGGATATTATTAAAGAAGTCCACAAGGCGTGACAGAAAGGCGGACGAACCGACCGTTTATTTCCTGGATAAAATAGTCTGACTTAACACGTTGACGAGAGAGTTTACACGAACATTGCGAAAGACGGAAGCTTCCCGAATATTAACTAACAATCCATTGAAGGTGAGGCATCCATAACTTGAAATTTGTCCTTTGGTTGAGTAAATTTACCTTTTCCTCTACTATTAATTCCTTTAAAAATTAAATACATCATATACTATACTTTTTTTGCAGAACAACGTTTGTTATGTATTACTCTTCATTATGTTTTTTGCAGATGACGTTGAAGTCCTTGATGGGTTTCAGTGGTTTCAAGGATTCTTATCAGCCTATCATTGACAGATATCATAGTGGGACTGGTGGTTATCATCACAGTGGATCTGGAGGATATCAACACAGTTCACGAGGGTAAAATATCGAAATTAATTAATTAACATTAAGATTAATATGTACATTAGCTTAACTGAACTGCTGTGAAAGATAACACTAAAACATTTTCAGAGGTGGCCAAAAGAAAGGCACAAATGGAGCTGCACTTAGCGCGTTGACTCTTCTCGCATTTCTGTTCCTCATAAATGTTATGCAGGTAATTTTTGGTATCTCTGATTCGTCGTCAACTGATTCACAAACTTATTCTTCTCGATAAGAATCGTTTCTCTCCTTGGAAAGAGGATGAAGACGCAAATGCTTGTTGTTAATTTGTTGTGCATGAAACAAATCGTTCGTTTGTCATTAATTGTAATATAAATAGGATCATTGTTAATTTATGTTTCTCTCCATGGAAAGAGGATGAAGACGCAAATGCTTGTTGTTAATTTGTGCATGAAACAAATCGTTCGTTTGTCATTAATTGTAATATAAATAGGATCATTGTTAATTTATAATGTATACCATTTTCAGCAATCAATGCAGGACAATATGTCAACGACAACGACCACGGCAGCCACGATAATCTTGCGAGATAGCGATCAACCGGCGGTGGTGGACGCGAAGGAAGAGGAGGAAAACAAGAAGAGGGACGAGGCGAAGCGCGACGGAAACTACGAAACACCAGGAAAATCCAAGATCCAAAGGCTTAACAGTCAATATATTAAATAAAATCAGATTAGTACACTTAGTACGATTAGTACGATTAGTACATTCGGTACAGAGTAGTTGAAAGTAGGTGAAGAAATTAAGAATTTGGACCAAGATCGGAATCGGAAGCTGCTCTCGTACATATTTAACAATTCTTTCTTGAAAGACCGCCAGTTTGAAATTGTATTAAGATAATATTTATTGAATCATTTTGTAACAATTCCTTAAACAGACGTGCTTCGAAATATCGAATATGTAGCATACGTTATTCTCTTAATACACTCCATTGTTTTTTCGTTTTCTTTTTTTTGATCATTTCCTTTTTTCTTTCTATACATATATATATATTTATTTATTTATATTTTGTTTACAATGTAGGTATATATATATATATATATATATGTATATATAATAGCCGTATAATTTCTTTGAGAATAAACATACATATATACAGCGAAAAAACTTGACCTCATTTTTGTTCACCTTTGAATTTATTTGTTTTACGCGCGTACGAATGCGGATACGAACATTACTTCCGATAAGTCGGCGTGGAACTCAGTCGAAAGATATATATTTATAAGAATAGACTCTATAGGAATAAATAATTTGCTGTTTTTCAGAAAATAACAGGCTTAGAGCCGTCCACGACGAAGCTTCTTGCTTTTCTACGGATTTATTTCTTTTTATTCCTTCGTACACGATTCTTTTTCCTATTTTTTTTCTTTTTTCTTAATTTTTCTTCGCGTCTAAAAAAACTGTAGTTAACACAGAACGGAGTTTCTTTTTAAATTCTGTATATTAATATATCGATCGCTTTCCTTTTGCTCCTTCTCCTTCTCGTTTATTCCTCTCGCTTTTCTCTCTTCGTCGTATCAAAACTTTTGTTTACTGCGGCATAATGATAAATACCAGTTGTGTGGGACTTCCAGTTCTTTATTGAGAAGACTCGATCAGCGACGAGCTTTGTATAGGCTTCCGAAGGATCTTGAAGGACGAAGATACTTTAATAAATTGTTTCAATAAGAGATAATAATAAGTCCTTTGAGATCACCTCGAAGTCTTCGAACACGTTCATACTTTAGCAATATTAGAAGCGAATAAGAAGAAAAGATTGAAGACCCGTCGCTGAGCTTGATTGGATCCCGTGTGTCAAGAGCTATTCTTTGAGAGTTAACCTTGGAAGACCCATGTTCCCTTTTATGCTGAAATTCTGACAGTTAATATTCCTGAATATTAGACAATGTTCATAATTAATATTCGTGAATACTAAACATTTGTAAAATTTATAATGAACATCTCTTTTCCTTTTCTACCAACTTCCCGACTCGTGGACGATTCCTTGCCACGAATTCATCCGCAACTTCCGGTACATGACTACAACACCCCGAGCAAGCTTGCCTCTAGCCTCGTGCAACTTCTTGACGGCGAGAGAGCATACTAGAGCCTAGAGGAACGCATGTTTGAAATGATTGAGCCACCTATCAAAACACAAACATGTTTTTTATTCTCTTTCTCCGTCTGGTTGCTTTCGCTTCTTCTCTTACACTCATACTTCTTCTTTCTTCTATTCTCTTTCTTCTTGTCCCTTTCTCTCCCACTCTCTCATACCACGCTCCTCCGCAGCGTCTCCGCGATATGCAATTTTCGATTCTTTATTTACACAACATTAGAAACATCAAAATACCTTAATAGACTTCTGCTACTCATCAAATAGCTTAAAAATAATCATAAACATTGGTATGCATTGCTATGGGAGGCTGGAAGTATGATTTCAATTGTATAAAACATCTCGATGAATTTCGGGAGTTTTCTTTTCACATGTTTTACATATTTTCCTATCTTCCCCTATTCTCTCCTTGTCACCTATTGAAACAGAAAAGAGATTTTACATGTTCGACGAATCAATCTAGTTTCATTTTTCCATCTTATTTCTTGACCACAAAGTACCTTCGGCGGAAAGATTTGAAACATGTCGGATTAATCTCTCGAGAAGCTTGTGGATTTTTTCAAACAGCGGAACCGAGGTACAATAATTCCATCGCATCTTCAAAAAAAAAAGAAGATAAAAAAGGATTACGAATAGTACGAATATGAAAAGTTATGGAAATACCATGACTACGTTGTTCGATTATAACCTCAACGAATGGGCTAGGCTAAACATCAATATCTAAGAAAAGTCTCGTTGATCAAAGAATCTTCACGTAGATCTCGATGGACTAGCTGCTAATTAATTAATTGTTTAGCGATTGGTTAAGATAGGGTTAGTTCGAATGATTTAGCAGATTTGTAAAATCAATGGAGCCTAAATGTACAAGTTAAACTTCTTTGAGATGTTCGAAATAGTAAAAAAGAAAAAAAAACTAAACGTAGCAAATTTTTAATAAACCATAGTTAATGAATCAAACTAAAATCCAAATTTAATAAAGAATTTTTCTAATTTTACTGCTTGACATCAAATATTTACAGCTAGAAACTATAAATGGCCCTGAGTATCGCTATCACCAACGGTGTTATTTCAATAGCAAATGTTGAAATCACGCAATATCGTTCGAACTAACCATTTTCACTCGTGTTGATTTGCTCAATTCCTACACGCGTATCGGAGAACACGAAACGATTGATTGGCCATTCTGTGCACCGTTCAAAGAAAAAAGAATACAATGGAAATAAATTTTATCCTTTTTATAAATAGAGGAATTCATTAAAATTTATCGACGATCTTTGATTTATCGATTATTTGAATCTGAAATCCTACGAGAGACCACAGAAAGAGGTTATGAATGAAAAGGGCCGGTGCACAAGACACGTTTTTCAGTTCGTTTGCAATCGAACGAACGTTATATCATTATTGAACACAGTCTACACGTAGTCGTACACGGCTAAGAGAAACGGGAGAGTGAAAAAGTCGACGATAATAAAAAAATTCGTACATCGCGAGCACGTCAGCTGAGCGCTGATTTGACTTCTTCACGTCTTCTCGCTTCATTTGATTCCTCACCGAAGAAACTCATACTCTTTCAGGGTTCTTCTTTATCGATAATTCGTGATCGATCGATATCGATAACTGGTTCTTGCTAACGGTTTGGTTAATCAACAATTAACAAGGTAAAGGAAAGGTACGAAAGAGCTGAGCAACAATTTCAGCGAAAAGCTTTCTCTTTCTCCCTTTTTGTTATCGTTTCGCAGGAATCGCTACTTACACTAAACCAGTTGATATATCGCGATCCGTTCATTTGATCGATTAATAAGACTCGCTTCTATCGATTAACGACGGTCGAGGACTTTACAATTAATCTCTATTACCTTGTACTTTTCGATTTGACTTCCACAAAACAGAATCTTTCTGCGATACCTTCTCATCCTTTTTGTCCGTAGAAGACTCGAAAACTTCAAATTTAGTTTACTGAAATAACGAAAACGAATGTCGATGCTTTAAGAAGCTTGGGTGATTAATGTGTATCAACCGAAAGTTGCGAAACAATTCGGACAACATTTCATACTCTTTTACGTTTAAAAGAAGAATGATCTATTTGAATGACACGAGATAAAGCACTCGAAGCAGTCTAATTTCAATGAAACACAATCAGATTGATTCTGTTATTTGTGGTCGTTTGATTTTGTCGTGCTTAAGCTCCTAACGTCGATACCTTCACTTTTCACTATTCAGTGACATCGAAGGAGACCGCTGCGTTTCCCTTTCGTGAACGATGGCCTCCGAGAGTCCAGTTTCCAGGATTCGAAGCTAGATGGCGGAAGTACGCGCTTAATTCGAAGAAAGATGAGAATTCTATGGATATGAAAATGATATGCACCAGAGGGTACATTGTGAATGCACACATATTTATCTCACACACATCCACGAATTCAATTATAACCATTTTCAATAATACTGATAGAATGATCTATCGATAACGCGAGTCACGTGCGTCGAACGAAATGTGTGAATGACTCTTCCTCGACTCTCGTGTACACGCGATTAATCATTTTCTATTTTAACAGCATGCGTTCTATACGCGGAAGTCGAGGTATCGTATGATAATAATTATTCGCATCGAACGCTCGACTATTTCTTTATATCACTTTATATTCGCGGAGGTACTTACAGACCTAGGTCTATCTACATGATATGAAGCATCGAAAGTAAGCTCCCTTCATGATACGATTCCCACCCTTTCTATGCCAGGCAATCGTCGAAATAACACTTTTTCCATTGTGACATTATTCGCTCTAGAAACTAGCGGGGATGCAGAGATTATGATAAAGTTTACTAGTGATATTTGAGAGCACGCGTTACATCCGGTCTTCGAGGTCCTTTTACTTCGAGGTATATACTTTCATGGCGATCTAAGTCTCATCGATAAATTAGATAATCAATTTTTCTAGCGTAAAGCATCGTTATCCAATTTCGAGCGTGAGAATAGACCTCGAAGAGCTTCGAAAACCGGGAATGATTCTCAAGGTCATTGTTCACGATTCATTTGCCAAATTACAATCCCATATGCCGTAAGGAAGCATTTGGTCAACGCGCGCACACCAGCAAGCATGCTTGTGTTCTCGCTTTAAAGGTAACACGCGAAACTAGTAATGAAGGAACGAACGAGTTCTCGTGGAAGGTACGCCCTTAGACTAAAACGTTCTTGAACGAATGACTATTACAAGGTATGTACAGTTGTATATGTTCGTGTTAAACGATAATGCAAAATGCGGTGATGCATCCGTGATGCATTCACGTTCTTGTAAAATCGACTACGAAGCACCGTAAACAGCAGTAACATTCGATGTTCGATAATCGTGTGACACCTCGGAGAAACAAGGACCACCTGCATTCGTAGCCAACGACGAGAAGAGTCGAGGAAAATTGCAGTAATACAGGATCAATGTAATGTATCGTTTAAAAATCACGAGTTACGAAAAAATAGAGCCACCCTAAACGTACTTAATACGACGTCTATTCGCCGAATAACGAATGACTTTGTCACTTTGAATCCATTACAAAAGATCGGTATCTTTGTTACACCGAAACGTACGTGTAACTATATAAGATGTCGCGTTAATGAAACGGGATAAGAGATTATCATCGAAATTGACACACAGACAAGAGACTCGCTAAATGGTTATGATCTCGAGGAAAAAGTTGAATAGAAAAGAGAAAGAAAAGAGAGTAGAGCCGATTCGTTATTCGGGTAGACAACGCAGTAGAGCAGATCGCCGAAACAGCGAAAGGAGTAACGAGAACTCGGCCCGGGAACAGTTCCAACGGAAGAGAATGTTCGTTTAACAGGGGTAGAATAAGGCGAGGAGTGCCGTGAAAAATTATTATTGGTGCGGGGTCTCGTCAGTCTCGTCCTGGGATACGATACTGGACCGATTCGACCTAACGTCCAGATCCATGCTGAAAGGCTTTGCCGAGCCCGTAGACAACGGTTGTGTCATGGTCTCCTCGATACTCAGGCTATACTCCAGCGAGCTGTCACTGAAAGTACAGAAACAGACCTCTACTCATCACTAACGTCTTCGACGATTGTTCTACGAGACCAATTCCGCTTTGATCGACGATCGTACCCGGGCGCGTTTACCTGACGATACTGGCACGATCCATGGACGTCGATGTAGGCACCGTACAGTTATCACCGTTACAAGGCCGTTGTCCATTGCTGCTGCACGAGGAGGACGTCCTTGTCGCGACTGCTTCCTTCATCGATGCCCGTCGTGATTCTTCATGACACTCACACCTATTCGAGAGTCAGGATTGATCGTTAATATGCTGTTTCAAGTTGTCTGAGTTATTTGAAAGTCTGGATGACCAAGGAGATCTAAAAGAAACGCATACCTGCATTCTTCCGGTTGAACGTAACTGTATCCTCCCGATTTCACCTCGTCCTCCGGTCGAGGAATCGTTTGGATCCTTTTTGGCGCTTTCCTTTTCTCTGGTATCTCTTCAAAGTTGATCCAGTTGCTCGGTCTAACCGTAGCCCTTGGTGGCAGTGGAGGTGGACTCGGCGACTTGCCTGTACTCTTTCGTCCTCCATCAGGCACTTTGCCTGCGAACTCCATGAACGTATTCGCTGCGTGTTTTCGCGGGCTCTTCAGTTTGAAACTTTCTTCCCGCGGCAGCGATATCTTCATTTTTTCCACACGACGTTCATCGAGAGACGTTTGCATCACAAACTCGTCGAGCAGGGTTGGGTTTATGGGCGTTGTGGAACGCGGCCTCTCGATTGGTATCGTTCTGGACGTTAACAATGTTATCAGTGTGTTATTAGTCAGTAAAAGAAGTTGCTATTATGCATAAACGAATCGCAGATTGCACGTGATCGAATAAATAATAACAAAAAATAGAAGTAAAACTATATGCGCAGAATAATTGCAGTTTCAACAATTACCTTACTTCCTGAAGTCGTTGTTTCACAGGCAGGATCGGCACAGCCACACTTTTTTCTAGGGGCAGAGTGGTCGGGACATAAGGGAGATCATCCTCGAAGCTTTCCTCGTAGAACAGACCTTTCCTCTCATCAGGCAATTCCTCAGCAAGCTTTTCAACCTTGTTTCTAATGAACTCGATCTCCGAATCCCTCTCTGACTCTGAACTGTTATGGTCCAAGTCAGAAATCACGCTGGGAGTCTTTACCAGGCCGTCCACGGTTTTAATCCCATCGTCCAGCAAATCTGGCCTTTTGCTTTCCACGTTTTTAACCTGAATATGTTCCCTGACTTGCTTCTGTCGTGAGATATCATCCGTTTTCTCAGGCGGTTCAACCGGTTGTTGTATCTCTTTGCTTTTTCTCTTTGGCTTCGTTACTTCCTTTTTCCCTACTGAATCTTTGGAGGAACTGCTGGACATCCGATGTTCCACAGGAGGTTTGCCCTCTATAGACGACGATGATCTTATAACAGGTTCGCTTGTCTTCCCATAGCTACTTAATTTTGAATCCTTTGAAGAGCTTCTCGAAATCTCAGAATCCTTCGAGCTGCTCTGCGGTATCTGACTGTCCCGCAAATACGTCGACCTCGATGTGGTCTCGATTAAGGCTTCGGTCTTTATTCTCGATGGTGGCGGATAGTGCTCGATCGACACTTCCGTTACGATACTTCCGGTTCGAGGTTCCGATTCGTACTCGTCCAGCAGCTTGGTGGGCGTTTCAAGAGGAATCGATACGCTCTCCGAAGGCAGGGCCTCTTCGTAGTTCCTGTCGTCAGCATGGAGACTTATGAAGATCGAATCGTCTTTGCGACTCTCTTTTTCTGCGTTGAATCGAAACTCCACATGGCCGATACTTTCCAAAGATGGATGGCCGCCTGCAGCGTCCAGTTCAGTACCGCAGGAGGCCGCTATCGCTTCGTCGTAACTCTCCTTTCGTTCGCGTTTCTTAAATAGGCTCAATGTCGACGAGAACACACCCTTATTCTTCGAGTCCTTTTTTAAGTTGCCGGACCCTTTATCCGCGGTCACTCGTTCGCGGGACTTGGATCTGCTACGCAGACTTTCGGTGGTGTCCTTGATCTTCGAGGTCAGACTACGCCGTGGTTTCGTGCTGGGCGACGGGGATTCTGGGCTCAACACACTGCTGTCTGTACGGGCCTTAAAAGTTGAACACGCGGTGGTCAAGTACATGCAGTGTCTTTTGTTCGAGATTCTTCTCGATAAAGCTAGCGGATCTTCTACAAAGACAAAGCCAGGAATCCGTGTGGACCATGTGTAAAGCGGTACAAGCCTAATTTCTACTGTATATTAATAGTTTGCATTCACTATCAGTTACTAGCATATACCAATGGAAATACCTTGAACAAGGAGGCGAAACTGCTCTTCCTGGAAACGGAAGAGGGACTAGGTGTACGAGAGCCCTCAAGGTCACGGACTTTCTGATGCCTCGGCAACTTTGGACTACCAGTTACGCTACTCGTTGTCGGAGTGGTTTGCACAATCTCTTTGAAGTTTTGTGATTTTTTTCTCTTATCGTTGAAGTCCAAGGTTACTGGCTTTTGAACCTCTTGTACTTGGCTTCTGGCGGGCTGTTGCGATATCGTTGTACTTTGCGTTTCTGCTGACTTCTTCACCACTGGTACCTTAAGTAACAAAACCAGGTAAATAAAAGATATACACGAATCAAGTCACGCTATCAGAGAAGAAGCTTTGCTACCTATTCAAAATTACCTGTATGTTAACTTTTTTAAGGAACCTTTTCGTGATCTCCACCTCTCTTTTGAAAATCTCCTTCCTCTCCTCTCGCCCTCGTCTTCTAGGTTTATCCAAGGGATCTGGCTTCAAGTTCCCATCTACCATCGACACTTTTATGCTCTCCGGAATTAGTGCTTTGGTGGTGTCAGCTTCCCGTTTTAGCAGGATCTTCTCCAGGTCGTCGGTCTCTGGTTTGGGTGGCTCTATCAGGTTGTCCGATAGCGTAGGTTTGCTTCCACAAAATGATGTTTCCAGTAGACATTTGTGCGGGCTCGGTGATCTAAAAAAAAGGCATTGTGTGAGTCGAACATTGCTATTACTTCCATTCCAGATCACTAACTGTGTAATTTATCACAGACATTTGGTCTGCGTATTTTAATATCCAAACAGATATGCTCTGTGAAGCCTACTTGCTGATGCAGTATAAAATTATTATTACCTGGACGACGTGGCTGAGACAACGGAAAGCTTGCCAGAGGCGCCGGATCCCTGGCTACCCACGGAAGACAGCCTAGACGTCCTACCACTGATGTTCAACAGAACGATCTCCGAACAATTGCTATCTTTGCGTTCTCTATCTAATTGTTTTCCGCTGTAGTCTGACAGTGAACCATCCTCCTTCCGTCTCTTAGCTAGTTTCTTCGATTCTCTTTTCAGATCTTGCTCGTGAATAGGATCTTGCAGGTCAAGCTCTTCCGTCGATGATCTTAAATCTTGGGCGTCTTCTTTGTAACCCAGAGTTAGCTTACATCCAGGTGGAGGTTCTCCGCCTGAGAAATTTGATTTCCACGGTATTAACAACCAGGTGAAATGGCGATACTGTCTCTAAGTTCTAGCATCATCGAGTCTATCAGTCTCCATTCTAACAGAGCTACCGTCGAAGGTGCAATTAGTTGATACACTACCTACATTTACAAACAAAACTGTACGGGTTCAAACCCTCTTTCTACAAACGTTTCTACCTTT